CTTCAGCCCATGAAGTTAAGTCTAAAAGCTTTAGTCCGTGAAGTTACGTTTTAATCCAGAGCAATGACTGCAGTCTGAATTAGGAATTAAAATCACCTCAGGATTCTCATTAGCAAAAGCAAGTCCGAACAATCCTGCTATTTTTGTCATCTCGTGTCCCCTCACTATTATTAATTTCCTCCCGCTGCTGCTCGGTCACAGAGCCTTGSATGGCACAAAGATGGGCAGCACATGGATTTTATTTTACAGCAATATAAATCACCCTTGGAAAAAAACAGATTTGGAAATTACCCTCACTGTCAAGCATGACTTTAAAATAAAATATATTCCGGGAGGAATCAGGCAAAAGAAGGAAATTATCCCTATTAATGGCTCCAGAGAGCAGTTGGAGCAGCGCTCATTGCCCACGCCTGACATTTGTGTTTTTGCAGGCGCTGTTTGAACTCCTCCACGCGTTCACCCAGGAGAACAGCGGGCTCCAAGTGCCACCAATGTCCTGCTGGCAAGAGCCACCCCSGAGGAAAAGCCCGAGGAGAGGGTCGGTTCTGCAGCGCGGGTGCGCTCCGATCCCGAGGGAAGGGTTTAGAGCAGCCTTACCTTGGCAGGCAGAGCCGCTSAGCGCAGCCCGGAGCTCAGGAGGAAGTGCAATGTTCCCTGCACCGCTGTTTGCACCAGCGAGGGGACCTGGGTGACATCACGAGGTGCCACAAAAGGTGCTGGCTTTGCCGGGGCTGCGGCTGCGGCTCCAGCCCTGTCTGCCCGGCTGGGACCCGCTCTGCTCCCAGCCCTGCCCAGGTGACCCCACAGTGACCCCAAAACAGCCCGATGTGCCTCTGTCGCGGGTGTTCGCTGTGCTGGGTTGGCTCGGCACCCACTGGCAAGGTCCCAAGGGGAGCTGGGTGCGGGGCACCCCTTCCACCTCTCCAATTCTTCCTCCCCTCCAACTCTTCCTTCTCTCCAACTCTTCCTTCTCTCCAACCCTTCCTCCCCTCCAACCCTTCTTTCCCTCCAGCTCTTCCTCGCCTCTAACCCTTCCTCCCCTCTAACCCTTCCTCCCCTCCAATCCTTCCTCCCCTCCAATCCTTCCTCCTCTCCAACTCTTCCTCCTCTCCAACTCTTCCTCCTCTCCAATCCTTCCTCCTCTCCAACTCTTCCTCCTCTCCAACTCTTCCTCCTCTCCAACTCTTCCTCCTCTCCAGCTCTTCCTCCCCTCCAAGCAGAGCTCAGAGCTGACCACAGGGACCCTCCCAAGGTTTTTGCTGCTCCTGCTGTCCCCTCCTGCCCCCGGGGCTGTGGACCTGCTGGCTGCTCTGTTCCAGCGGATCAGCTCCTACTTCCCGAAGGCTTTTTTTAGCMCAGTGTGAACCTTCCTGACATTTCTCCCGCGCTAAATAAGTCCCCAGCTCATTTTACATCGCTGGAGCTCCCTGCCAGCACTGCCAGAGGGTGGCACTTCTGACATTGCTTTAAGGAACGGGCGGGGATCCAGCCTCACCTTATCCCAGGGCACACACGGGGCTGAGGATGTGGCTTCACCCTCCTGGAGGATCTCACTGTTTGGATTTTCAGAAGGGCACCAGGAATCTGCCTTGCTTTGCCTCTCTGGGATGTGGCTCTCAGCACTCACCTGTCCCTTTCTCACCATTTGAGCTCTGCTGTGGTTTAAGAGTGTGGAGTCAGCAGCTCCAACCTGATAATGTAAGTGCTGCTGTCTGACAGCTCAGAAACTTCAGAATCCCAGAACTGATGGCTCTCATTCAGACATTTCCACATGAGCATCGCCTAAAAGGCAGAGCTGTGCCTTCCAGATGGTCTCATTCCATGAGCTGTCAAAGGAGGTTGGTAGAAATCGGCAGCTTGCCAGKTATTTATTTTGAAATTATTTATATGGGCCTTGTGAAAAGCAATAGTGAGGTTTTGGCCAGTGCTGCAGTGTTTATCAGCACTTCCTGTTTAGCTGATTTTTTTTTTYCCCTCAGCAATGGAAACATATTTGCTGGAATTTATCCAATCACGAAGTTGTCCTTCGCATAAAATCACCGCACTCTGCAGCCTGGCAAGCTGAGAATTTGGGAACAGCAGTTCCCTGAGTGACCCCAGCAGCATCTGTGGAAAATAAACATTCAGAGAGCCACAGAATCATGGCATGGCTTGGAATGGAAAGGAATTTACAGCTTATCTTGTTCCACCCCCTGCCATGGGCAGGGACACCTTCCCCTATCCCAGTTTGCTCCAAGCCCTGTCCAGCCTGGCCTTGGACATTTCCAGGGATCCAGGGACAGCCACAGCTTCTCTGGGCACCCTCCCCACCTTCACTATCAGCTCTTGTGCAGATGCTGCTCTCTGCATAAGCCTCCATCTAGAACCTGACTGATCTGAGCAAAAGCCACAATCCTTGTGAAAAAGGAGAAAGAAAAGGTGCAGCCTCTGCTCCTGCCTTTGCCCATGGCCCCAAATTGCTCTGGTTTGGGCCAGGTTGTCACGTGAGAGTTTTAGGACCACAGGAGATGCAAAGACACAACTCATGGCACTTGCAGAACATCCTGCTGAATTTCTTCTTCCTTCAATAGTTGCAGTTGCAAAGTGGGGAGAACATTTTCACCCCTGAAATGGAAGGATTTTTGTTGGCTGGGCTTTTGGAAGGCACAGCTGGGATTTACCAACAGCCCCAAAGCTCTGGGTAACCTGAGCAGCACTGGGTGCCCTCAGAGTGAGGGGGACTGGAGCAGCCCAAGGATTTTAACCCTGTTTACTGGRGGGATTTATCACCTTTCCTGCAGACAAGGGCTCAGGAAGTAGCTTTTTCTGCTGATAAACCAGAATTGCCTGGAGATTTTGCAGACAGTTATTCTGGGTATGATCGAATTTCCCTGAAGAACTCTTTGCCCTCATTATGAGGGCAAAACTTCGATTTGTGCAGCATAAGGCTCTTCCTGCTCTTGGTTATGGCTTCCCAGAAATATTCATTACCATAATTACCTGGATTAAAGGAGAGCTTGGCTCCTGCAAGGCCACCTGGCTGTCAGTGCCATCATTATGTGACAGATAATTGAGCAATACCATGGTTTTAACTCCAAAAAAAAAATAGTTTCACCTTTGCCTGTTTGCTGCTGAAGAGCTGGGTTTGATGTGCAGTGGTCCCAAACAAAAAGAAGTTTCTGTGCCTTTTCCATGTTTCCGTTTCCTTTCCGAGTTCTTTCACAAAATCCAAAATTAAGTTGCAGCTCTGTGGCTTCTTTTTTTGTGGTTTAGTTCATAGGATATTTGTAACTGGTTTTTTTAGAGGTTTCCCACATCTACAAGGGGAGAAAGCAAATAAGGAAGAAAACTTCCCATAAAACACATTATGGTCTTTCAGTGGAAACCAAAGGAAAAGGGGCTGCATTTCTAAATTATTATTGAGATAGGTATGTAATTTATTAAGATGTATTATTTAGTATGTGTAAAATATTGATATAATCTGTTGCATAGTATTGTTAATATAGCAGTATTAATAATAATAATAATAGTACCTAATTATTAAAATTTGACTAAAATCACAAAATCCCAGGATGTTTGGATGGGAAGTGACCTCAAAGTCCACCCAGCTCCACCCCCTGCCATGGGCAGGGACAACTTCCTCTACCCCAGGCTGCTCCAAGCCCTGTCCAACCCAGCCTTGGACACTTCTAGGAATGGGGCATCCAATAAATAATAATAATATTGGCTGGAGCAGCCAATAAATTGGATAAAAATTTGGATTTCATGTCAAATTTATTTTACTGTCAACTCAAGCCTTTGGAGCGTGGAAAAGCAGATATTCAACAAAAGATCATACCAAGAAATTTAACTGAATTTGGTCAAAAGTTGTGCTCTGGAAAGGAGAAAATGTGTATTTGTATCCTGGTTCTGTGGTCCTTCTTATGCAGTATTTAAAGGATTATTTAAAGGAAAGTGAAATGTACATATGGAGGTTAAATTACATAACAGTGTTGTTTATTCTCATAAAACAGATAACAGGAAGAGGAAGAGAGAACGGCAAACATTTCAAAATTCTGCCCTTCTATTTCTGTTTTTGGGCCTCAAGCTGATAATCATTTTCCCCTTGCAACAAAAAGGAGCAGGAGGCACATGGAAAAAGTCAGAACGGGTTGTTCTGTGAGGAATAACTTCTAATTACCTGTGTTTTCTGGCCACTGAAATATCATTGCTCATTAGTGCCTCTCTTTGCTGCTGCAGAGCTACAATTGCACCAYGTCGTTAACTCACGTCGTTAACGATTTCCTCTGCCCCCAGAACAGACACACACGCTCCTCCCGTCCAAAAGAGAGGCTGGTTCTGTTCCAAATAAATCCATTTTTAATTCAAACCAGCAGTTTTTCCTCCCAGAGCCTCCTGGTAGCTGTGGCTCAGCCCATCCCCTCATCCCACCAGCCGTGGGCTCTTGGAACTGGGGATCAATAAAGAGCTGAAAACGTTCACACCCTGAGTTTCTACAGGGACAGAAATTTTCATCTCTGACAGCAGAAAGAGAAAGGAGCTCTTGGAATGGTCTCAAATGTGGGTGCCCAAACTGTTGGAAGCTGGGCCTGGGTTTTATTCAGAGCAGCTGAGCACCTTGAACCCCTCCCTGGAGCTGAAAATCTTTCAGGAGATCCAGGGCTTGCCAACACCAGCAAGGATTCACCCGTCAGAGCCATTGCTCTTTGACAGAGATACTCACTTCCTAAATTCTGCTCTTTTGCAGGAACTGAAAAGRAGAAAATGTGTCTTCCCCCTCTAACCAACCCGAGCCTCTGAGAAGTATTTTCCATAAAGCTGATGCTAAAAATAATCATTTGGTTTCTTTGCTGAAACTTCTTCTTCATCCTCTGCAGCTCAGAATCCYTTGACAGACAGATCCCAGCAGCTTTTTTGGAGGAGATAAATGAACATTTTGAAGGAGAAGGACCTGGGGAAGAAGACAAACTCCAAGTTTTGCCTGTGGTGGTTTTAATTTCTTTGCCCAATTTTAATTTCTTTGCAGAAGTTCTCTTCCCAAGGGGGTTTTTGTAGCAGAGAGTTACCCTGGAGCAGCTGCCACAAGCTGGCACGTGAAATTCCTTCTCCTTCCTTGCAGGGAGTTGAGAGCATTGTTTGTGCTCCTTCTGGAGCTCTGTGCTAAAGTCAACACTCTGTTTTCCTCAAGAATCACCAGAACAATCTGGTGAGATCAACTAAATGTCAAAGTTGTAATTTGTTAATTTAGAGATTCCAGAAAAAGGATCTGCTGGTGTTGGGACATCAGGCTCAGGGAACCAGCTCAGCCTGGAATTATCTCCTGGAATTCCATCACCTCTCACCCACAGGTGACTCAGAATTCTGCAGTGTGAGAGTCTTGGTGTRAGCTTGGGTGAATCCCAAACCATCCTGGGATTCCACGATCCCAAAGCCCCAAACACTGTCTGTGGCAGTGGTGCAGCTCCCCATGAAAGCTGCAAAGAGAAGGGCGAGAATTTTTATGAAAATTGGAGCACAAAAAGAAACTAAATCCACTCAGGGGAATTCCTGAGACAGAGAAATCCCCTCCCAACGAATATGATCAGCCTCAGTTGATCTTCATCACATTTTCTTCATCACATTTTCTTCATGAGGCTCTGCTTCTTCTTTCACCTCATCTGGGAGCAGCAGCAAAGATTCCAGCAAAGAGAGAACCTGATTGCATTTAAAAATAAGGAGATTTTGGATGGGATATTGGAAAGAAATATCTGGGAGGGTGGGAAGGCCCTGCTCAGGGTGCCCAGAGAAGCTGTGGCTGCCCCTGGATCCCTGGAAGTGTTGTCAGCTGCCTTAAGGGATTTACTCCAA